TTTTATGTGAGCCGCCCTGAGTCCCCTCAGGGAAAAGGGCGGCCTACAAATGTTAATAAACAAACAAACAAACAAACAAACATGAATCCATTCAGCAGGCTCAAACAGAGAGGTTTGACACCCGCAGAATGGATTGTTCAATGCATATGAAACACTCAGATTCTGCTCCCTTATAACATCCTTCCCCTGGAGTGGGGAGGGAATGGAGATTTTGCGGTGTCCTTCCCCTGTCACGCCCACCAAGCCATGCCCACAGAACCGGTAGTTAAAATCTTTTGAATCCTACCACAGATCCCAGCAAACTGCCCAGTTTTCCCCAGAAGATAGCAGGAACTTTCAGAATTAATAGAAGGCCATTCCTTACCTGTAGGGGCCTGCATAGCAGAACTGGGAATAGTAGCTGCATCTTGTGGTACCGTACTTGTGTCAGGCTCAGGAGTGCTCGTTGTCGGGGAAGTGGGTGCTGGGTTTAGTAACATCCGCTGCTTTCTCTGAAAGAAGGAAAACAAAGTTCCACGGCTTTCAATGGGGGAACAAAGTCTACTAGGTAAAAAAAGGAAGAAGCTGTTCAGAACTGATATGACTAAATCAAGGATAGGATCTCAGGGACCATAAAGGGGAAATGGTATCTCTGTGACAAAAGTGTACGAAGCCTAACGAGCGATAAAAATGTCTTTGAGTCACCAGCAACCACCACGGGGACTGGCATAAAAATTGTGATTTATAGCGGTGACGAAGATTTTAAGCAGATTTTTGCTTTCTGCTTTTCCTTTATGGAGATTGAAAGCAGCCTACATGGAACTCTGGCCAGTCCAGAGTCTGTTCAGCTTTAGAATTAAAGCTCTTTCAAAGGTTTCAGTCCTGGGGAGCCTTTCAGGGATTTTAAGGTAGTAAGCAGGAATATACTTTTTGCATATTGTATCTAGAGATTCGAACCTAGATACAATATATTTTCCCTGTATCCCTACCTTAAAATCACTAGAAGGCCACCCAGGACTGAATCCTTTGAATGATTTGAATCCCTAGCACCGTGTAACAGAGTGAGCTCCCATTGCTTGTCCCAGCTTCTTCCAAAAACATTGGGATGAACATTAAATGTAGAGAAGAACTCATGTCAATACGTATAGCAGCTAGTCTTAATGCTGACACTGAAGTGTTTTCTGCCTTTTAGATTCAACTATCAGCAATGAGAGGGACGCAGTGACTCAGTGGCTAAGATGCTAAGCTTGTCGATCAGAAAGGTTGGCAGTTAGGTGGTTTGAATCCCTCGGGCCACGTAATGGAGTGAGCTCCTGTTACGTGTCCCAGCTTCTGTCAACCTAGCAGTTTGAAAGCATGTAAATATGCAAGTAGCAAAATAGGGACCTCCTTTGGTGGGAAGGTAACAGCGTTCTGTGTGCTTTTGACATTTAGTCATGCTGGCCACATGACCATGGAGACGTCTTTGGACAGTGCTGGCTCTTCGGCGTTGAAACGGAGA